GTGAGTCTAAAAGGTCTCTGTGTGAATCTGTGGGTCTCTGTCGGAGTCTAAAGGGTCTCTGTTTGAGTCTACGGGTCTCTGTGTGAGTCTATGGGTCTCTGTGTGAGTCTGTGGGTCTCTGTGTGAGTCTGTGTGGCTCTGTGTGAGTCTGTGTGGCTCTGTGTGAGTCTATGGGTCTCTGTGTGAGTTTACGGGTCTCTGTGTGAGTCTGTGGGTCTCTGTGTGAGTCTGTGGGTCTCTGTATGAGTCTGTGTGGCTCTGTGTGAGTCTGTGGGTCTCTGTGTGAGTCTAAAGGGTCTCTGTGTGAGTCTATGGGTCATGTGTGAGTCTACGGGTCTCTGTATGAGTCTGCGGGTCTCTTTGTGAGTCTACGGGTCTCTCTTTGAATCTGCGGGTGTCTGTGTGGGGCTACAGGTCTCTGTGTGAGTCTAAAGGGTATCTGTGTGAGTCTGCGGGTCTCTGTGTGGGGCTACGGGTCTCTGTGTGAGTCTAAAGGGTCTCTGTTTGAGTCTACGGGTCGCTGTGCGAGTCTATGGGTCTCTGTGTGAGTCTATGGGTCTCTGTGTGAGTCTATGGGTCTCTGTGTGAGTCTATGGGTCTCTGTGTGAGTCTATGGGTCTCTGTGTGAGTCTAAAGGGTCTCTGTTTGAGTCTACGGGTCTCTGTGTGAGTCTATGGGTCTCTGTGTGAGTCTATAGGTCTCTGTGTGAGTCTATGGGTCTCTGTGTGAGTTTACGGGTCTCTGTGTGAGTCTGTGGGTCTCTGTGTGAGTCTAAAGGGTCTCTGTGTGAGTCTGTGGGTCTCTGTGTGAGTCTACAGGTCTCTCTATGAATCTGCGGGTCTCTGTGTGAGTCTACGGGTCTCTGTGTGAGTCTGTGTGGCTCTGTGTGAGTCTATGGGTCTCTGTGTGAGTCTATGGGTCTCTGTGTGAGTCTATGTGGGTCTCTGTGTGAGTCTGTGTGGCTCTGTGTGAGTCTATGGGTCTCTGTGTGAGTCTGTGTGGCTCTGTGTGAGTCTATGGGTCTCTGTGTGAGTCTGTGTGGCTCTGTGTGAGTCTAAAGGGTCTCTGTGTCAGTCTACGGGTCTCTGTGTGAGTCTACGGGTCTCTGTGTGAGTCTATGGGTCTCTGTGTGAGTCTATGGGTCTCTGTGTGAGTATATGGGTCTCTGTGTGAGTCTATGGGTCTCTGTGTGAGTCTATGGGTCTCTGTGTGAGTCTACGGGTCTCTGTGTGAGTCTATGGGTCTCTGTGTGAGTATATGGGTCTCTGTGTGAGTATATGGGTCTCTGTGTGAGTCTATAGGTCTCTGTGTGAGTCTATGGGTCTCTGTGTGAGTCTGTGTGGCTCTGTTTGAGACTGTGGGTCTCTTTGTGAGTCTATAAGCCTCTGTGTGAGTATATGGGTCTCTGTGTGAGTCTGTGGGTCTCTGTGTGAGTCTGTGTGGCTCTGTCTGAGTCTGTGGGTCTCTGTGTGAGTCTGTGGGTCTCTGTGTGAGTCTGTGGGGCTCTGTGTGAGTCTGTGGGTCTCTGTGTGAGTCTGTGTGGCTCTGTGTGAGTATATGGGTCTCTGTGGGAGTCTGTGTGGCTCTGTGTGAGTCTGTGTGGCTCTGTGGGAGTCTGTGTGGCTCTGTGTGAGTATATGGGTCTCTGTGGGAGTCTGTGTGGCTCTGTGTGAGTCTGTGTGGCTCTGTGGGAGTCTGTGTGGCTCTGTGTGAGTATATGGGTCTCTGTGGGAGTCTGTGTGGCTCTGTGTGAGTCTATGGGTCACTGTGTGAGTATATGGGTCTCTGTGTGAGTATATGGGTCTCTGTGTGAGTCTACGGGTCTCTGTGTGAGTCTGTGTGGCTCTGTGTGAGTCTATGGGTATCTGTGTGAGTCTGTGTGGCTCTGTGTGAGTCTAAAGGGTCTCTGTGTGAGTCTACGGGTCTCTGTGTGAGTCTACGGGTCTCTGTGTGAGTCTATGGGTCTCTGTGTGAGTCTATGGGTCTCTGTGTGAGTATATGGGTCTCTGTGTGAGTCTATAGGTCTCTGTGTGAGTCTATGGGTCTCTGCGTGAGTCTGTGTGGCTCTGTTTGAGTCTGTGGGTCTCTGTGTGAGTCTACGGGTCTCTGTGTGAGTCTACGGGTCTCTGTGTGAGTATATGGGTCTCTGTGTGAGTCTGTGGGTCTCTGTGTGAGTCTGTGGGGCTCTGTGTGAGTCTGTGGGTCTCTGTGTGAGTCTGTGGGTCTCTGTGTGAGTATATGGGTCTCTGTGTGAGTCTGTGGGTCTCTGTGTGAGTCTGTGTGGCTCTGTGTGAGTCTGTGGGTCTCTGTGTGAGTCTGTGGGTCTCTATGGGAGTCTGTGTGGCTCTGTTTGAGTCTGTGGGTCTCTGTGGGAGTCATTAGTGACCGGGGTGAGACCATCAACTCGCTCCACTTGGCATCCCGATTTAACCCCAGGCAGCAGCTGAACCCCGGATTGTAATCCAGGACCTCATTCGTGCACCACCCTCTAAGCCTAACTCGACCGAACAAGGGCACAGCCCTGCAAGTGCTTCTTCCGGCCACTGGTAACAGAAGGCGGCTCACTCGAGGCAGCACTCGAGAGGGTCCCCTCTGGAGGGAATTTGGCCTACTCTTCCACACTGGCCAGACGTCTCGGAAGAAGCGGAGCGAGTTCCCACGCGCTCACCAACGCCGTATGCAACCGACCGAGCGACCGACGTAGTCGGTTGCACCGACGTGCACCAGCGATCTCGCGATCGCAGGTCGGGTGAGCAGGTCGGGTGAGCGGGTAGGGTGAGCGGGTCGGGTGGGCGGGTCGGGTGAGCAGGTCGGGTGGGCAGGTAGGGTGAGCGGGTCGGGTGAGCAGGTCGGGTGAGTGCTGCTCACCGCGACACCGCCACTGTGACGGGAGCAGACCGGACGTGCTGTGTGTGTGCGCGCTGTGTGTGTGTGCTGTGTCTGTGTGTGTGTGTGCGCTGTGTGTGTGTGCTGTGTGTGCTGTGTGTGTGTGTGCTGTGTGCGTGCTGTTTGTGTGTGCTGTGTGTGTTTGTGTATTGTGTGTGCTGTCTGTATGTGCGTGCTGTGTGTGTGCTGTGTGTTTGTGTGGTGTGTGTGCTGTGTGTTTGTGTGGTGTGTGTGTGTGTGCTGTGTGTGTGCTGTGTGTGTGTGCTGTGTGTGTGTGCGTGTGTGTGCTGTGTGTGTGCTGTGTGTGTGTGTGCTGTGTGTGTGCGCGCTGTTTGTGTGCGCTGTCTGCGTGTGTACTGTGTTTGTGTGTGCTGTGCTGTCTGCGTGTGTGCTGTGTGTGTGCTGTATGTGTGCTGCGCGCTGTGTTCGCTGTGCTGTCTGTGTGCGTGTATGCTGTCTGCGTGTGTGCTGTCTGTGTGCGTGTGTACTGTGTTTGAGTGTGCTGTCTGCGTGTGTGCTGTCTGCGTGTGTGCTGTGTTTGTGTGCGCTGTGCTGTCTGTGTGTGTGCGCTGTGTGTGTGCTGTGCTGTCTGTGTGTGTGCTGTGTGTGCTGTCTGTGTGTGTGCTGTCTGTGTGTGCTGTGCTGTGTGTGTGTGTGCTGTGTGTGCTGTCTGTGTGTGTGCTGTCTGTGTGTGTGCTGTGTGTGTGCTGTCTGCGTGTGTGCTGTCTGCGTGTGTGCTGTCTGCGTGTGTGCTGTGTGTGTGCTGTCTGCGTGTGTGCTGTCTGCGTGTGTGCTGTCTGCGTGTGTGCTGTCTGCGTGTGTGCTGTCTGCGTGTGTGCTGTCTGCGTGTGTGCTGTGTGTGTGCTGTCTGCGTGTGTGCTGTCTGCGTGTGTGCTGTCTGCGTGTGTGCTGTGCGCGCGCTGCACCTCTTAACCTATAACACCTGGCGAGCCACCGCCCACCTTCGGCGTGACCTCGAAGTGCACCTAGCCTGGCACGCGCACCACCACCGCCGCCTCTCGTCGGCGAACGGCGGCCGTCATCGCCGCAGACTTAGCGACGCCTGGGTTCAACGCCAGGACCCTGCCTCTTGCGGTGGTGCTCAATCTGCCTCCTCCGCTCGGGCTGCCCAAACGCAGTGCCGCCTTGACCGGCACGGCGAGTCTCAGACTCTCTGGTGCCGGTTGTGTGTAGGGGGGGGGGTTCACAGTGGCCGTGTCACGGTGTCACCACCACCACCACCAGCCCCGCCTGCGCCCAGTGCCGGATGAAGCCAGTGCGGGACCTGTAGCATATGTTGTTATAAAGGGGTTCCCTAAATTATAAAAAAAACACACAAATATTAAAACACTAATTTTTTACTTGCACGGTAAAGTAATTGTATTTTTTCATTTGCTATACAGCCAGATAATACGACAAATCGCTAACCTTAAACACCCGGTCAGTCGTAATAGTTGAAGGCGGTATAGTACTATAGTAATAGAGCAAGTGCAGAATCACTGAACCGGAATTGTATGTAGATACGTAGCTACTACATGTGTAGATACTACATAGCGACATATGTTGTATGTTGTAGCTACTTGTGTACTCGAGTAACTCCGCCCACTACTTGTGTAGCTACTTTTGCTACAAGGATAACCCTGCACTGACTGCCCCCCCACCGAGAGACAATCTGCATCTTTTTGTCGTCCGGGCTTCGAATGATCTCTGAGCAGCGGGAGGGAAGCTTATCTACCTGGCTACCTGGCTAGTGGGTGGAGCTACGCAGACGGTGGGCGTGGTTTCCTGGCCAGTGGGTGGAGCTACACAAATAGCGGGCGGGGGGGCTACCTTGAAAGTGGGTGGAGTTACGTTGGACTGGGGCAGAGCTATTCAGGCAGCGGGCGGTGGCTATACAAAGTGGGCGGGGGGGAGGCTGGGGCAAGGAGGGAGGAGCTCCCGGGTCACCGCCACGGGTCACTGTTGAGCCCCGATGAGGCGTGTGGCTGGGCTGGGGCGGCTTTTAACTTTTAAACGCGTGGTTAATTGTAGAGGTCATGAAGCAAACAGGAGAAGAGAACGCGGCATTAACGAGAGTGTCGTTTCCCTGGGACTCTTCTGTTTGTGCCGTTCAGAAACACAAATCACGGACCTGTGTGGAGGTACTGTATATGCCTGGCGACCTCTTGAGTCAAACTTGCCTGGACTGATTTGACTTTCTCCTTTCAAACCCCCCCCACACCCCCACCCCTCGTTTTTGTTTTTCTCATCATTTTTTAAATTGTTGTTTTTTTGTGTTGAAATTAGCACGTGGGAATGAACGATCGCCACGGTTACTTTCAATCTCCAGTGTCTCTTTCGTGTCTTTTCCGCTTGCATGCGCCGCGTGCCCGCACGCTCGCCGCGTCCATTGGAGCCCGCGCCGCAACGGAGCGATCGATCGACCCGGGACCGCTTTGTCCGCACCGTGGGCTAGCGGTTGTGGAGGGGGGGAGGGGGGGTGGTGATTGTGACGGCCGGTCGTAGCCGGCGCGTCGACGCTGCGGGCAACCGTTTGCGCGGAGACGTCGGCGATGTGTAAGCGGGATCGGTCGCGCGCAACCAATTTCCACAGTTGATTGCAACCACCCTCTCGAAACTGTTTGCGGACGCGCGGTCCACGTGCAAGCGATGCAGTCGCACGCAACCGAACCGCGCAACTCGCTGCGGCCCTTTCGCTGCTTTTTTGTCGCGAAGATGTCTAGATCAAGCGATTTGAGTTTGCGCGCAACCGAGTTGCGCAACCGATCTCGCAGCCGACAGCGGCCCGGCTGTGGAGAGGCGTCCAAACGTCGGCGATCCGGTTGCAAGCAACCTAGCTGGCTCCATCGATCGCTCAGGTGCAGACGCGGCTCGAGGGACTGCGGCGACCCGCGCGGGAGCATCCTGCGTGGAATGACGATGATTGCCACGATCGTTGCATTGTCCTTGAGCAATGATGGTGATGACGGTGGTGATGATTTTCCACGTCTCGTTTTCCGTTGGCCGAGATCTTTGGTGTGCTGCTGCTGTCGCCGCTGCATCGTCATCAGCCCCCCCCTCCCAGCCCCCCCCCAGCCCCCCCTCCCAGCCCCCCCAGCCCCCCCCAGCCCCCCCCAGCCCCCCCCTCCCAGCCCCCCCCCAGCCCCCCCTCCCAGCCCCCCCTCCCAGCCCCCAGCTCCCGCCCAGCCCCCCCCCGCCCCCCCTTGCACCCCCCCGCCCCCGCCCAACCCCCGCCCACGCCCCCCCCCAGCCCCCCCCCAGCCCCCCCCCCCAGCATGTTTCTGCCGTGACTGCCCCTCTCCCTTCTCTCCCCCACTTTGCCGCGTGCCGTTTTGTCTCCTCCTACCCCCCCCCCCCCCCGCCGCGTCGGCAACTCCCGCCGGTTCGTTCGTTCGCTCGGCTCGCTCGTGACCATCGCCGCCGCGGCCCGGCTAGCCAGCGAAGCCTCCCTGAACCTCGTCACGACCCTCGCCAAGAGGGCTACCGGCCGGTATTTCCGTGGCGGCGGGCGGCAATGGACGGCGTTGCTGCGTCCGCTCGCGACTCCTCTGCCCCCCCCCCCCCCCCCCATAAAAAAAATTGAGATGATGAGGTGAGGTGATGTACGGCGCTCCCGAGACGTCGCCGCATTACGGGGGGGTAGCGCCAATTAAAACTATTCTGTTCCCGATTTGAAGCTTTCGTGACTGCAAGGATCCATACTCTTTGGTTCTATTCGGTAAAGTCACGTAGGTAAAAAAATGGCTCATTGGGGCATTCTGTCTACAGGAAACCCACCCACACAGATTCCTACTTGAAACCTGATTCCCACCACCACCCAGCCCATTATAATTCTCTCATCAAAACTTTATACCATAGGGCTCATTGCATTTCGGACCAACACCACCTGACCAGTGAATTAAAACATGTACACCTGGCCCTCAAAAGGAATGGATACTCTGACCGTATCATCCACCAAGCTGTTTCTCCCTCCATACAGAAACAACCACTTGATACTCCGGTCAAAACCATCACACTACCATATATAGCAGGCGTTACTAAAAAGATTTCCAAAATTCTAAGCAAACACAAGATCCAGGTCCGGTTCAATACAGTACATAAAATTCGTGATCTGATCCCATCCGTGAAGGATGTCATTCCTGACTTACAGTACCCCGGGGTTTACAAATTGAGTTGTACCTGCGGTGATTGCTATATCGGGGATACAAAGCGACATGTTTCTGACCGAATTCGCGAGTACAAATCAGATTTGAAACACGGCAGAACGAATTCTTCTGCCGTGGCTGATCACTGTTACAACGCTGTGGGTGATCACGATATAATTTTCTCCGATACCAAGGTTTTTTGCAAACTCATAGGTTTTTATCAGAGATTTGTTCACGAGGCAATTCAGATCTACAAACACAGACACAATTTCAACCGAGAAGATGGTTTCAAATTAAGCAACCATTGGAAAGATGTTCTAAATCGAACCAAACATTAAATTAATTTTCATTTGTACAGTATATTTTTTCAAGTAGTGGTACCCCAAACTTTCGCAGCACAGGCTGGTGCACTGCCGGTGCCGATCACTGTGCTACACCTTTCATCATGATAAGTCCGCCAATCAAATGCTAATTTTCATGCTAATTCCTTTGTCAAGGCACCTAAATCCCTCTCACACAGCTTAAAGGTGCACTGCCGTGTGCTACACCTTTCATCATGCTAAGTCCGCCAATCAAATGCTATTTTTTATGCTAATTCCTTTGTCGAGGCACCTTAATCCCTCTCACACAGCTTAAAGGTCGCAGTCTGAGCTTGGCTCTGTTTCACTCCAGCGCTGTCCTCGAGACAGCCTGGTCCCTTCACCTGATGAAGGCTGCTTGTGTTGTGGCCGAAACGTCGTGATTTTTGTTGTTTTATTTTTTACCTACGTGACTTTACCGAATAGATTCTAGATTTAAAGCTTTCGTGACTGCTAGGATCCATACTCTTTGGTTCTATTGGGTAAAGTCAATAGAACCAAAGAGTATTTACCGAATAGAACCAAAGAATATTCTGTTCCCATCATCATGGCCGTCATCACCACCATCATCACCAGCATGACCATCACCAGCATCGTCGTGATTATCAGCATGGTCATCATCAACGCCATCATCAACATCATCACCATCATCATTATCATCACCACCATCATCACAACCATCACCATCATCACCACCATCATCGCTGTAGCCGTGTGTGTATTTGCTGCAGCCGAAATTTCTGTGAAAGGCGTTCCAGGCACGGCACCCCCTTACACCGCCATCACCACCGTGCGCGTGACGGTAGAACCACGGTGACGGTAATCGAGCGGTTAGCGCGCTGACCTCCGGACCCCTTCTCGGGGCGAGCCGAGTCGGTCGATTCCCGCTCACGGCCGCCGACCCCGGGCGACTGGGCGGTCGGACACCGGCCGCGGGCCCTCTCCCCCCCGGGGTCGACTCGGCCTCAAATGTTCGCGGTGTCAAAACGTCGCTGCTCGGGGGGTGGGGGGGGGGGAGAAAGGCGGCCGTGCGGGCGTGGTGCCGTGGCCCAGCCGGGGGCCCCCCCTTAGTGCACCACCGTTCCGGCCTCCGTAGGTGCTGCTGCTCGCTAACAGCACTTGACCCAAATCTGTTACAGGCTACACAGGGAGGGGGGGTTTTTACCTTTGTCTTTGTGTGTGCGCGTTAGCCATCGAAAGTTCAGCTTCGCAGCACGTGAAATGATAATGAATGATGCCGCGTGAAACGCTAAGAGTAGGTTTTACCCCTTTCTGGCAGTAAAACACCAAGTGAGAAACCTTTCACAAGGAATCAAGTAACCGCATTAACCACACGCGGTACTTGTGAGGCCAATATCATCCATAACATAGGGGGGTTTTTTTGGTTTGATCGCGTAAATATAAATGTTGCCGTTAAACCTGCCATGCGGTGGGAGCGTTGGGAGGTGGTTTTATAATCCGGGGAACCCATCGTGCCCCGTCTGTACGAGCGTTGAACTTTTCTCGTGCCGTACGCGGCCAATTGTGGCTATATCGGAGATGCGGGGGGAAGGACAACAAACTAAACACAACAACAACAAGCGGTTCGAAAGAAATTACTTCTCAATGTTGTATAGTGTATAGTGGCCTAGTGGGTAGTAGTGTAGTGTATAGCAGTGTAGTGTACAGTGGTGTATTGTTCAGTTTTTCAGTTTATTTATTTTGGTATAGCCCTGTGAGCCATTCGGCTCTTGAATCGGGTGCAACCACAACAAACAAAAAAACTAAAACACGAACAAGAAAAACATCTTAAAGTGACTATGTGACTGTGCAAACAGAAAATCCATGAAAAAAAACAGCAAAATATTCCTGAAAAAAGCACCGTGCAAAAAATCCCAGTGGGATGCAAGTCAAACAACAACAACCACAAGAAAACTTAGATTAAGGCCATCAGTCTAACTCCGTACTACAACAAAACAAACATGTCCAAACCAAAAAACTTTTCGAAATCAAAAAATAAAGCCATAATTGCAACGTAACAGTGATCATAGGGACTGTGACCGAATTTTTACAATAAACTACATAAATAACATGTAACACCAAATCCTAGAGCCATAGCTGGCTGCATGAATTACTCCACGACAACAGAAGCATCGGTCGGAGTATCAAATTTTTCAATGCACCTTTAAGATCAGCACGCTAAATCAAAATACAGATAATACTTTGCAGCATCATCCGGAGCGAAACATTTTATTTTATTTTACGCCAATGAATAGCAGTGGCAGCTAGGGGTGTACAACTCCTCTAGAGCAGTTTTGAGAGAAGATCTCATTGGTAGCGATTCAAGTTGCAGTTTATTGGCAATAGCATTCCAGACCCTGGCGGCATCAATAGCAAAGGCTCTTCCTCCAGTTTTTGTACGGCAATAGGGAATGTGAAGCTGGTAAATGAGCGAAGACCTGAGGTCAAATTTGTTCTTTGAAACAGAGAGGAGATCCAGCAGGTAGTGTGCGCATTTTTTTGTAAGTACTTCGTGAATAAATAAGATCTGGTGCACAAGCCGTCGAACATTAGGAGATGTTAAGTTTGACCCAATGTAGAGATCACAGTGGTGAGTCCTATATGGGCAATTCAATGTAAATCTTACGGCCGAGTGAT